GGATTGAGCCCCGGGCGTTACTAACCGCGGGGTTGAGTACGGCTGGCTGACGAAGGCCAACAGGCCGGAAATGACCACACCAGCCTCTTTGGTGGTAGTGCTCTTTCTGGCTGATACCTCAGCTGCGGTCTGCACACCCTTGATTCAAACCCCGATCCGGTTGGTCATCCCTCTACGCCACTTCCATGCGACTAAGTACTTCCGCTCTTGAGCAAAATGACACGAGGGCCCGTTAATGCAGTTTCGAGAGAGTTGCCACTCGATCACATAACCGGCGGTTTGAATTCCAGGTGTGTGAAGTCCGGAATTGGGCTGTCACTGGCTGGTGAGGGCAAATAAACCAAAGCATACCAGTCGCGTCCCTGTCCTTATCTGTATGCGCACCTCAGCTCAACCCGTCACCCCACGTCCAGTTCGATGAGGCTGGACATTGGAAGGCCTGATTAGGTGTAGAGTTGTATTCTGTAAATAGGACTGGTCCCTCCGGTAGCCGTCCAGCTAAAACTGCCTGATCTTACGCCGCCTGCATGGCCTCGGCGCGTGTGTCTGGCTTTGTCCCCCTGCAGCGTCGACTGACCTCAAGCCCTCGCCACGCAATGAATCTGCCCTCTAATGCTGCCCGCACTTGTTTGACAGGTTGCACATCGCTGATGGCATTGGAGTTTGACACCACCTCGCCGACACGCTTGTGCGTGCGACTCCGACCTGTTCTCTGTTGAGGAGTTCGTAAGTTAAGACAAATAAAGCTCCGTTTCACAAAGTGTGCCTTCGTCTTCTTTTAAACAAGAACCTGTGTTGCGCATGTTTTCTTCCATTGGTGAGAAGGAGTTATGTACTAGGCTGTCACTTGGTGGAAATGTGTCTATTTAAGATTTGAGATATGGAATGTCTTCCGATTTTTGTTAATGAAGTCTGAACACCCAAGCTTAAACATGATTTAAGAGGTCTCATTTTTCTGCATTCGATTCCAAGCACAATACTGTATGAAACTTCCCGCATTCTCTGTTGTACCTCCTTGCTGCTATTATGACTTGACCGACTTCGGCCTGGTAATTGGTTGTCTGTTCGTAGCCTTTGCCTCCCATAGGGAGTTTGTTTGTTTTGCGAGGCCAATAGATCGATGTGCGCCCATTCCTGATTGAATAAATATCCGGCCCGCAGCAACAGCATGACAGGTGGAGAGGCACTGATGAACTTCATTTCGATGAAGGGCTTATGGCCCATCCGGTAGAACCCACTGGTGGACCAACTGCGCCAGGTATGTCTGTGCGCAACACCTGGAGCTTGACCCTGCGACCTGTTGATCAGAAATCTAACGCCCTATCTGCTTAGACACTGGTTTATTGTGTTATCCTCTATCATTGTATACACCCGATGGCAGCCGACAGGACTGCAAGTCCGTAGCTCAGGGGTTAGGGTGCTGGAGTTCTAGTTAACAGGTCGCGGCATCGAGCCCCAGATGTTCCACACCACAGACTTGGCTATGGCTGGCTGGCGACGGCTAGTAAGGTGTAAATGTCCACTCTAGTCTCCCTTGTCTTTGGGATAATGTTATTCTGCCTACATTATACGAGCCGCTGTGAGGCTGCTGGCGGGGTTCGATAGAGAGCTCTAAAGCACAACGGGACGTGGGAGTTCTAAAGCGTGATTAGGTGGGCGTCCATCCGCCATAAATATATATTTAGAATTTGTAAGAACGTACCCTGATCGGGCAAGAGGAGATGCCCATCATGTTGTACTTGGTCTAAATCATTGCAGGCGGTCCACCGCAACTAATACAATATGCAGACGAAAGTTACCGAAAAAGAGATAGGAAACTAGGACGCCCATTTCTGGCTTATTAGCCGCTGTCAGCTAACCTTGCCCAAGTGGTGACTTTGCGACACCTGAGTCTCGACCCCATTTTCTTTGGTTTTCTGAACGCGTATTTGGTCCAACGCCTCATTGATTGGGCCGCAGGTTCGTTGTCTTGTCGGTTACGATCGGAGTAGTATGTTATTACCAACAAAGACATGGGAGACTGGAATAGCAATTTCTGGCTTATTAGCCGTCGTCAGCCAGTCATACCCAACCCCGAAGTGTGGAACACCCAAGGCATAACATACTGCCTATATCATGCGCCGCTGTGCGGCTGCTGGTTGGGCTCGAGTAAGAGCCCGTAAGGCACAACGGAACGTATGAGTTCCGTAAGAACGATCGGCGAGCTCCCCCTACCATTACGATGGAAGTGTGGCAGTTCGCGTCTCCTCGCCCTCCGCCTTTGTCACGCTGCTGTCCTGTCCGCCTCACACTCCTTCTCGATACGCTGCTGGGACGCGCGAGTGCTCGAAGCCAATCAACGCTGTCCCCACTCTGATTGGCTGGCGACGTGGAGACAACGAAGGGCGCACACACGTGCTGAACACCCCGATGGCGGACACAGAGACAACAGCTTGCTTGGAGCGCGCTCGCGGCGACTGCCTGCAGAGCCCTTGTGAACGCACTTTCTCAGGCAGTAAAGGTTGTCCAACTCAAACCGTCTTCCCTGACTTTTGATTGAGAATCTTTATCTTGTCGACCATGCAACATTCGACAGAAGTATTAACTATGTTGAAAGTCCGTCAATCGATTGGGTTGATTTCATGTTCATCCCATTGTCCTTTTGAGTTCGATCAAGAGTACCGCAGGCAATCGCACAGCAAGTAATGGCATCGGTGGTAGGAAATTAGCAACAAAGACAACGGGCGTGGGATGAGCATTGATGCAGGTGCGATCTAGGGACCTTTATAGAAGAGGAAGGCAGACAGGTTATTTCTGATTCCAGATGTGCAGAGGTCTACAATGAGACCACGCAGTTTGAAACAATAGTTCCCTTTCCATGGTATGGCCGCCGGTTGCATCGCCAAATCTTAAAATTAGCAAACAAGCTTCAGTTTGGGCAGGCCCTGCAGATGTCTGAGTTTCTTTCTCAACCCCCCTGATCTTCTTTCAACGATAAGAAAGCAGACACCTACTGAGGACGCGTCAAAATCCACTTGTATTTCAATCATTGCACACGGAGGGCAAATAATATACTGTGATTTTGGTGAGGGCTTATTCTTTTTCTTTGTGACCTTGTCTTGGGGTTGGTTGGGATCAGCTACTGGCATGGTAAACGTACGCTTTCGTTTCTTCGTCATCAGGCTTGGGCAGTAATGCTAAATTAACTGTCTTGCTTTTATCCCAAAATTTTTGGATAACTGGAACTTGACAGACTACATGCTCTTATCAGGAATGCGCTGTTCTGTTGTACGGGTCCTACTGAGGCTCCATTGAAGAACAGTCTGTTTTCCAAAAAATTCTCCGGAATTCTTCTGGATCTCTTATATTTATGGGCATTCACATTTACATATTTAGAAGACTGCAGAATGGGAAATTCCAAGTAATGTCGGACGATTGGCGTTCAAGTAACACAGAGAACTTGTCGCGGAGAGCTAAACCACGGGAGAACTTTAAACTACGATTCTCGGGCCAGGTCCTTGATAGGAAGAGTGGGAGTTAGCGCCAGTAGAGGCGTTCCTGGGGACTAAAGTGCAGCTGGTGAGTGAGTGTCTTGAGTGAAAACGTGTCCGAGTCAACCTTGAAACTAGTTGGCCTGTTCCGGTGGTTTTGAATCGCCGAACAACAAACAAAGTTTTTTTTGTTTCAGTGATTGTCCAGACGCGATGCCAACATCATATGGAGCCTCACAATTTCGGACGAATGTACTTACATCTATGCGCCGGTCAGAGACACAAGGCCTTTACAGAGGCGGGGAGTAGAGTCATTACAAGTCCTTTTGTCTTCGAGAAAAATTGGCGACTTCCGGCGATAACAATCCATCCCAGTCTCTTGACGGCCCAACGCAAGTGTAATAGTTAAACGCACTAAACCCCCCTTAGCTCGCTCTCTCTCTGTCTCTCTCTCTCGGATGGCAGAAAGACTAGTATAGAGGCTTGATGACTTAAGTACTCGTCCGCTCAGACTTTAATTCTCTCAGTCTCCAACTTCATCTCCGCTCTCACGTCTGAAGTCACAAATGGTCAATCAGCCCAGTATTTAGGATCTCCTTTTTTGCCCCATCCTCCTCACTGACATCCCGCACCAACGCATCTGCTGCTTTCAGGCGACTTTGGCGCACTGCCTCCTCACAGCGTCCCACCCAGATTGTCAACATTAATTGTAGCCAATCGGAGTGCGGGACGGCTGAAGGTCAACGCAGTCAGCCTCTCCGTGATCTTAATCCCCGGTCGCACACCCTGCACGGCGGCGTTAGACACTTTCTGGTTGGTACTGGCGCGCTTATTCTCATGTACTCCCTCCTGCATCAGTAGAGCGTCGTTTAAACAATCCCTAGCTGCCCCTTCCAGCTCTCAGCTACCTGTTCGCTGTTAATTCCCTCTCGGAAGATGTTAGATTGTTTGAAGAAGAAGAAGAAGAAGAAGAAGAAGAAGGTGGGCTCTCCGGAACAGGTTTATTTAAATGCTGACGTTTCAAGGGGCTTGGTCAACTCTCCATTGTCAAAGCGCAGAAAGCACTTAATCGATCAGAAATTTAATTTAAAGTGGCATGTTGTGTTGGTCGGCCTCATGCTGACCGATTTTTCTCTCCTCTCACTGCCTCGGCCTCTCGGGAGATGCTTGACGGGCGTTTTGCCTGCGTGCTTTGTGAGTCACCACTCCGTCGGGGGCAGCTGATTGAACCTTTGTCGTGCGGTCGGTCTGGCGGTTCTTGTTCTTCCCCACCGGGTAGACTCAGCGTCAGGCTATCTCCGTGCGGCCTTATTAAGTTCGGTGTGGTTGTTTGGTCCTGAGTTCTACGATTATGATTACATAGGGCTTTGCCAGCTGCAGGAAGGTCAAGATGCCTGTTGATAGAGTGGGCATCGGAGAACCACGCTTCGAGAGTTAGCCTGCGTCTTTGTGATGCTACTATAGTGTGATCCATACCCTTCCTTTTTGTTCCTACTTCTGCATATCCTTCAAAACATTGTTACGAGAGTTCTATTCTGGAGTGGTGTACCGTGAAGAGGCGGCGTCACGACATCTCCGAAACGCGTTCTCAGTGGAGGAAGAATCTTGCCGCAAGTGCGATGGACAGGTGATATTCACGAACAAGAAGGTCCGCGGACAGAACATGCCGGCACGGAGGTACAGGAGAAGGAGTTTCCAGTCTGCTCGATCGGTAAGAAAAAGGGAACGAATTCTTGCATTATGGTGATATGAATGTATAGGACTGCTGTAATTTGAAGTTCTGTGAGATTTTACAGCTAGTATATCTCTAGAGCAACAGAATTCCCCTGGAATAAGTATCAAAGCTTACTGGTAGATCCCAAAGTACTGCGGTTGCCTGGTTCAGTTACTTCCGGTGAGTCTGCTCTGAACTGGCATCCGTCGCCAGGAGAGGAAAACTGAATGGATCGCCAACAAACCTAAAACAACTCGTCGGAGCCAGATTTGCAGGGCGCCGTAAGTACAGTCGTGTCCCTCTTTTAGGTGTGGACGCATCTACCGAAGAAAACGATGACGATGCAGAACAAAATTATATCGAACAAGGCTCACCCACTGAGGGTCCATTGGTCTGTAAGTGATAAACCCATTAGTTGGGCACAGTGAATAGGCTATCCAGGAAACGAAGATAGCAGCATCCCAACAGTTACAAAGTAGTAAAGAAGAACAAAGTCGTCAGCAGGTAAAAATGCACGTGCTTGTTCTATGTCTCACTCAAAGTTGTGTCAATGTCTTTAAAAAGCGTATTGTAATTGAGTAAAACAAAACGGACTTAAATGTTATTACAGGTCATTGGATTTTGTCAGAGTACCGATGTTAGGTGCCTCTACATATTCAAGCGAGATGCAGTGACGTTGATCCCCAGCGGTGAACGCGGAGTGGGAACAGGTTCAACAACCCATTATGACGAGTTTTAATCAGACTGGGTACGATTACAAAACCAACGATTACCAAGAAAATTGCGTTTATCCGACTACAGGTGCTCACACCCAGCAAGTCGAGAAGAGATGGTTAGGCAGCAGGGTTGAGATTTTGATGAAAATAAATCGAGGAGTTCCATAACACTCACTACAGGTGCACTTGGATGAACACTGCTGGCGTGATTTGAAGGCGATATTAATGAAGTATTTGTTATTTAACTGTCATTCATTGATATTTTGGCAGATTTTGAATAATTCATATTGACCCAACTGTGAAAAACTCGGCGCCTCGGTGGGATTCGGACCCACGCAGTAAGGGGGAAGGCTTTAGTACAGCCAACGCTCTAACCACTTGAGCTACGAGGCCCCGCCGGACGACGCGAGTTTTATCACACTTGGGTCAAATTACCCGCCCAACCTACTGCAACGTCTGGAATCCACCAAATCCCACCGAGGCGCCGAGTTTTTCACAGTTGGGTCAATATGAATTATTCGAAATCTGCCAAAATATCAATGAATTACGTGTGCCTAGTAGTCATCTGGTGGATTCTAGGTGAATTACTTAGGAAATCCTGCTGGGGCAGTCAACTTACTGTATCAGATTTGGTGGATTCCAGACGTTGCAGTATGTTGGGTGGGTAAATTGATCCAAATGTGATTAAATTCGCGTCGTCCTGCGGGGCCTCGTAGCTCAAGTGGTTTGAGCGTTGGATGTACTAAAGCCTTCCCCCTTACTGCGTGGGTCCGAATCCCACCGAGGCGCCGAGTTTTTCACAGTTGGGTCAATATGAATTAACTGTCATTATTTAATTTGGATGTCATTTTCTCATTACAGATGGCGCATTTTAAATCTGATTCTGATTTTTGACCAGCACCTGTTAGGGTAGAAATGTGCCTTGCATAAGAACGCCGGTGATAGGAATCACGCAAAAATAGCACCGTCTTTGCAGCAGCTGACGTCCACGTGTGCCATCCAGGGCTCTCTTCTCGACTTTTCCGCCCATTTCTTATTCCGTGTAGCCTTGCTTCCTTATGCTTGTGGTAATCTGCTCGGCATGATGACAGCGACCAAACCCGTCGTCACTTCCTGCACCGCGTATGACTCAGCCGCGACGCCGTGACACCGATGGATACTTTTTATAGTGATTGGGGGCGCTCACCGGTCGCATTACGGAACTCACTAGTCCTGCCGTGCCTTCTGACTCTCCCCCGAGCACCCCCAGCAGCTGCACAGCGGCGCGTAGTGTAGGTGGAGTAGCGGCGGGTGGTAAGTTCGAACCTCGGGGTAGCGAATGGCTGACTGATGACGGCTAACAAGCCAGGAGTGGCTATTCCAGTCCCCCCCTGTCTTTGTCGGTAGTGGTATTTTGTTCTTCACTGATTGGCTGCAGCCGGACGTGTCTTGGGCACACGGACTCACTTAGCTCTAATGCAGCACAAACGGCCGGCTCTCGTCGTCGTGAGCTCCCACTACTGTCACCTTCTGAGCTGCCAGTGCCCCCAACCCGGGCAGAGTAAAGATTGTCCTATTAATGCTGTTTTCCTGACTCCTGATTTGGGAAACTCGTCGTTGTCAGCCTTACGGTACGATATACCTGACCTATACTGAGCTCGTTTGTTGTCTTTGGCTGCAATTATGGTAAATCCGCGCTAGCCACCGCAGTCTCAACCCAAATGGAGACGCAAAACAGGGGTGCAATTTTGCAATTATTATGTGCGCATTGCTACTTATAAATAGCCATAAGTGTTGTGATAAGTCCCCAATGCGAATTATTCGTTCTTGTGCATTTACGAGACTTATCAGTGCATCCAAAGAGAAGGGTAGGTAAAATCAAAAAACAGTCTAACGGGACTAAACAATCCGTCGGCGCGTGTCACACACGATCCGAGTCCTCGCACAGCAGCCCAGATGTTCACTCGAAGGGCCTGGACGACTCAGATCCCGCATGCGCGAGGGCACCGCAGAGGGAGGCTTAAGGAGTCCTTGAGCCTGACTCACTCCGCATAAACGCGCACAGGGCGACTGAGAGGTATGATGTGCAGCACAAATTGACAACCTTCCAATCCGCGACGTTTAGTGCATCGTGCTTATTTCGGTTCGACGTCACAGGAGACGCACTGTTTGCATGAGATTGCCTTTAGTATGGTCCGTCTCAATTGCAAAAGTGTTTATGGTTATCGGATAAATTTTCAGACTATACTACGATGTTCTGAGGACAACTTATCCATTTTTGCACATATACGAGGTTTCTCAGTGTATTCCAACAAAGTGTTTGTCAAGAAAAAAAGTAGACCCACCCTACGAGTGAGAAACTGAATGCATTGATTATCTACTTACGGGACTGTCGCTACAGCTTAAGCCGAAGGGTGACTCTAGTCATTATGGCCCGGTCCTGAACAGAAAGGTTAGAAGATGCTGCGTGTTCTGTACGGAGGGACTGGAGAAATGGTAGGAATGAGTTGCCCGTCGGATGAGAACACGTCCAGCGCCGTGAGAGCGGCGTCCCGAATCGCAGTACGGTGTGCGTAACGGCGCCTTGAGCGAGGGCACGGCTGAGTCGGCCTTGAATGTGACTGACCGGTTTGCACAACTGTGATTGGCCGAGAAACAGACCGCCGCCGGTGCGCACGTGCGAGTATTCGAGAGAGGCGCGGCGTTACGACGGGTGCTCGGAATGGAGCCACTACGGGGCGTCCGTCATGTTTTAGACGCTAAGCAGCTGGTTCACACCACTTAGTACTTGTCCACTGGCTGTGCAAATTTGCATCCCTGTACCCGGTTTCTTCAAGATCACATGTTTTTACGTAGTAGAAAACTTCAAAGTTTATCAGATCTGTGACGCATTTGTCAGGACGTCACAAGAACCCCAAGAACTCTGGAATTAGCCACGACAACGAAACAAATGACGAATTATTTGGTCACATCTGTGCAGTTGTTTAGCCTGGACGCCGTAAGACTGACAAGGAGGACGAGTTAACGGTCAGAAACTTGCATCAGAGCTCGTCAAGCGGAACCCTGATCGGTGTACGCAGACTTGCGGAGTGAAATAGCCCGTGGTAGAGGAGTGTTGGTGAGCGACCGAGGTGGGCACCCCTGCGCGCCTCCAAAAAACTGACACTTCCAACAGCCTGAAATTTAGCAACGATATTTGGTGAAGTCGGATGAATGAATTTCCCAGAGTGAACCTGTCAACGTCACGCCTGGGTTCGGGAAAATGAATTTAGATACTTTGGTGAAATATCACCTTTCATTCCCTTGATTACAATTTAACTCGCTGTGTTAGAATTTTCGAATATGGATATTTGTTTCGGCAAGGGTATGATATGTGGCCCCACTGGGAAAACTGTTGTCAATTGCAACTCTGACGGCAACCGCGGTCATGTCTGTAATAGGTGAGCCCAATCGCTGACCCATAAAAGTCAAACACGAACGCTTCCGTAACCCTAACTCAAGCTTTAAAACCGTAAGGCTAACCCTAAAACTTAGTCCCCATTCCCCTAACCCTAATCAGAAAACTGGCCTTAACCCTATCCATAATCCTAGTCCCAAAACTCCAATCCTGAATCAAAACCAACTAACCCCAAAATCCGAACCATAATCCAAACCTGACAACCCTAGTTCTAAGCATAGTCCAAGCCCTAACACTAATCCTAACCTTAAACGTAGCCCTAACCCAAACTTTAAGTCTGATATGGGCATACTTAGCATCACTGGAAGTGAGAATCCGCGCATCGTGTAACCCCCTTCGTGACCGATTTCCAAACAACCGGTTACGAACCACACCTGCCTAAATACGATGAGAAGGTAGATTCTTGAACAACCATTCAAGGGTGCGGTTACATACCCTACTGCCACCCTGTTTCGGTTCCATTGAAAATTTTTTGATGGAGTGCGTCACCTTGAAATCTTTTCAAATCAAAGAAATGTAATCAAATGCTCAACTGAGAGAGAGAGACAGTAAACTAAGGTAGACATCGACGAAATAAAATAAATTAGGAGTATAAACGTCCACACCGTTCATCTGCTCCAAAACCTGGTCCCATTTTGAGTGCCGTAAGCAGCCTGGCCTGCTGTGTGAACACCAAGTCCCTTTCACAGGAGGCGTATGTCGTCTGCAGGTTTTCGTTATACCTTCTCCCCTTCGTTCTTCTCCCTCACCTTCTCGAAATAAACATGTAAGGTGTGCCAGCGGCCTGAAGTTGAGTGACAGTGGGCTGCCTCTGTTCGTCTTCCAGCGAACGCAGGCTTTTTCGTATCTTTGTCAATTCGCTGAGCAACTCCGAATCCCATGCCGGTGACTTGCTATACGAGGTTTGCTGCGTCGGTGGCGACTGCTTCCTCGTGGACTGCAGAGCCTCTCGTATTTCCTCTAACTTACGGAGGAGTAGGTAGTCTGTCTGGTTAGAGGGCCTTCCTTTGAAAGTGGAACAGCCAGCAGTACTGAGACGTAGTCTACTATCGAGGGCGCTCACGCCGTCTTTAATTTCAGTCAGTACTCGCATCATTGTGGGGTCCGTTGTGACAATGTTGGCGGAGGTGGTGGCGGCGGCAACTGGCTGCACCGATAGTGTCGACTGTAGTGGCTGCATGTCCACCGCCTGCAGGATATCCCTCGATAGATCTTTCACGGCTTCATTCACTTCATTCAGTGCTCCCAAAACGGCTGCAGCCGCGGGGCCAGTAGACGTGACACCAGTCCGTCTTTGCCAGCTCCCTCGCTCTCCCTGGGGTCCCGTGTGTGCTCTCAGGGAGTCTGTTGATGACACGGAACTAGTCCTTTCCAGGTCTCGGGGTCTCCGTACACTTTCCCTGTTCCGGGCAGACGAGAAGGATGAGGACTTTGCGCTTGCTAGGGACGCACGAATCACCGTCTTCATGGTCTCATTATCAGAATGCACCTTTTGAGCCAACTCTTCAATGCACTGCTTCAGTTCGATGATCTCTTCTTCGGGGGAACAGAGAGGGGTCGCAGTTGGCTTTTTCGCTCGTGATCGTGCCGCGGACGGCTTGGCGCGAGCGCTTGCCTTCGACATGTTGCACCAAAGTGGTGAACAGAAGCGGGAGCGTGATGCTGCGGTGGGGGTAATGTTCGAGATGGTTGCATCACTGGCGCTGTCTTCTTTGACCTCTACGTCCTTACTGGAGTCTTCACTGTCTGGGAGTATGTTAAAAAGAGCTCCTTTCGACGGGCGGTTTAAAGACATGACTGGATGGCCACTTGGCTGCAAGCCGCTTTTAAAGCTTCTTTGGTATGGTTAGAAGGCAGTGCTATTGAATGTGCTTGTGTTTGTGCACGGATACGTGGCAGAAAGTTCCCTACGCAATGGTCTGGTGTCAAGGTTTCTTGGATTACGGCTACTGACGGTGGATATCTAAATGAAGCCTCGGAATCTCCTCAGCCGGGGTAATTTACCTCTCCGGGGCAATCTGCCCGCCTATTTTTCTCCGTGCACGCTCCCGCGTGCCTCAAGGCCAGAAATATCGATCGATGATTCGACCGAACACAAGGATGCGGCAAAAAAAGCGACAGAATCCCGGTATTCATAGGCGTTAACTTTCAGTGGCATAGACGCATTTTTGGTCTGTTTTACGAAAGAGTGACTGACTGCGCTTTTTGCTGTAGACTGTGCGAAGACTGGAAGTAGTTAGCTTACTGGATATTTCAGGGCCCTGACCTCTGAGAGATCCGTTCGTGATGAAACCCAGTTAGAGGTTTGAAGAGTGTCCTGCGGAGTTGCTTATCTTTCAGGTGAAGATTGCTAAAGTAATAAGCAGGAAGGAACAAATACGGCAAGCGCGCGTCCAGTCTCATAAATGGTTGTTTGACAGACTCAGACAATTGACTGTCGTTTGAGAGGGGTGAGGGAGAGCGGCGCCGACACTTTGGGATGTGATCCCCCCATAAGCCAAAGCAGCCCGTGTGAGAATACATATGACAGGATAGCGCGGTTCTTTTTGAGACTGGGGATCAGGCTGTAATGGCTACTTTTTCATGCGACCTCTAGGGCGCTCTTATGCATGTGAGATCGGGGCTGTCCACGTGAGAGCCCGGTGCATGCTCTGGGGATGGGGTCGTGTGTGGGACGTGTAGATGGGCTGTCTGAATTTGCCAGCCATTTCGCCCACACCTAGACCGGTCATCTTGACTCTGTCCCCTCTTTGCAATATGGTGAGCGAGTAGGGAGAGGATTGGATAATAGACTCTGTGAGGTTGCATCTCAATATCATCTCATTCACGTTCAAGTCACCGCTTCTGGGCCCGCCTGGCGGTGGGCGTTGTTTAGTTCGTCGGTTGGGTTGTCACGACAGGAAGAACAGTGATTGCTTGATATGGGGTTTAAAAAGTTCTGGGTTCCCTGGCGTACATCTCCGCGGTCCTTTTTTTAATCGTACGGCCAAGTAATAACCGTTATCTTGAAGCACGTGTGTATGTAGCAAAACTCATACAACTTCGAAAAAATCTTCCAGTCTGTATTTTTTTAATTGAACGTTTTGTTCAAGTTCGTTTTAGATACTTATTCGCACGGAATATTACCTGAGTTTAATTTTCATAACGCAGAACTCTGACTTTTAGCTCAACATCTTTATATCACCTGCGTCGAACCTGCAGGCGAATATGTATGCTAATTGTTTGCTCAATTAATCTGCGTTAATTTCCTTGCTTAATCACTAATGTTTGCGTCAAATGCATCTTAACTCCTACTAACGACTAATTTCAGCTCATCTTATTTTGACGTTTTCAGGAGATACCGTTGTCAAATTTAGTTCTTTGGGGAAGAACGCATGGTCATTGTTTAAAAATATGATTTGTGGGACGATTTGAGACTCCAGCATGCCTATTCGTGTAGTCAAGTATCCATCGGTTTTCGAATACTATTTCTACAGTTGAGCATTTAAATAGCAGGAGGAATGGTTACCCTAACAACCTAAAGAATATCTTGATTTCTTCTGTAGAATCAGGCGAAGATCTTAATTATATGTAATGGTATAAAGGAATTAGCGAATATTTTTACAATCGCAGCTTGCGCTTCTCTCATATTCCGAAGTTCAGGAGCACGCAACTTTTTAAAGAGACGTGCAAGAAGTCGATTTCATGTGCAGCTGCTCGTGAAGGATGAATGCAGTCAACACAGACATTTAAAATAAGTGAGACATTAATTACGGTAAAATAGCTGATTCATTAAATGTCGTGAAGCTCATTTGAAAGGGCATTACCGCATACATTCGGTGTGGTTGTTTTTGCATATTTAATTACTCTGAGGTACAAAAAGCCTTTTAGTCAAGAAGAATTCACTGCAAATCTATTTTGCGGAAGGAACACAGACCAAGATTAGACGAAATCGAACGTTCCCTGATATCCAAGTAATCTCACGCTTTATTTTGTACCACATATCGAAGCTTCTTGTTTTGCGCGCTGCGTCATAAAGAGACGTTAATATAAGCAAGAAATTTTCCAAATAAATGCCGGTTAGGAAAGGAAAGTGGGATTTTGCATTCGTAGAAATCGGGTGGATTCGGGCAAGCGAAATCGCATTATTTCCAAAAAACAACAAGCGAATTGATCGTTAAAACTTCTATTTTGTAAATTTGTGGCTTTTTGCCATAAATACAGAAAAAAGTGTTTAACGGTAACTTACATTACCACACTGGGAATTAGTAGGCGTAAATAAATATTTGCTGATTTACGCGATACGCTGTCACTTTTTCGTGACACGCCATGCGATGAAAATTTCGAAGCACTTTCTTTTGAAAATCAGTTTTGAGCGCATACGAAAATTGGCGGTCAAAGGACTGTTGCGCGTGTCGTTAGGTAGCATTTACAATGCCAGCAAACCACTCTTTGGGCAATTGTTAGCAATGGATCAGTGACTAGAAGTAAGCAAGGCAGACAAAACAATCCAGAAACAGGCGATGATCTTAATTATATGTAATGATATAAAGGAATTGTCGCATATTTTTGCAATCGCAGTGTGCGCTTCTCTCATGTCCCGAAGTTCAGAAGGGGTGTGCAAAACGTCGATTTCATGTGCAGCTGCCCGTGAATAGTGGATTCAGTCAACACATGTCTTTAAAACCACTGAAACATAAATCACGGTAGAATAGCTGAATCATTAAATGTCGTAATGCGCATTTAAGGGGGCATTACCGCATACATTTGGTGTGGTATGTTTTGTATCTTGCGTTACTTAGACGTGCAAAAAGCCTTTTAGTAAGGAAGACTTCATTGTAACTCTGTTTTGTAGAAGAAAAACATGCCAAGATTAGATGAAATCGAACGTTCCCTGAAGTCCAAGTAATTTCACACTTTATTTTGTATCACATGTCGAAGCCTCTTGTTTCCCGCGTTGGGTTATAAAGGAATCGCAATAGAGGCAAGGCAGTTTTCAAGCAAATGTCTTTTTTTAGGAAAGCAAAGTGGCATTTTGCGTTCACGGAAATTTTGTGGATTCGGGCATATGAAATCACATTATTTTCAAATAAACAAGGAGCAAATTAGTCTTTAAAAATTCTATTTTGCACATTTTTGACTTTTTGCCATGAATGCAGTAAAAATCGTCTGACGATACTTTACCACACTGAGGATTAGTAGGCGTAAATAAATATTTACTTATTAACGCGACATGCTGTCACTTTCCGTGCCACGCCATTGTTGGTCAAAGAACTGTCGCGCGTGTCGTTAGATAACATTCCAAATGTTGGCCAGGCCATTCTATGGAGAAATATTAGTAATGGGCCAGTGGCTAGAGTTAAGCAAGATGGAGAAAAAAATCTGTGGCAGTTCGCGTCTCCTCGCCCCCCGCCTTTGTCACGCTGCCGTCCTGTCCGCCTCACACTCCATGTCGATACGCTCCTGGGCCGCGCGAGTGCTCGAAGCCAATCAACGCTGTCCCCACTTTGATTGGCTGGCGACGTGGAGACAACGAAGGACGCACACACGCGCTGTCACAACACCTCGAAGGCGGACACGGACAACAGCCTGCTTGGAGCGCGCTCGCGGCAACTGCCTGCAGAGCCCTTGTGTACGCACTTTCTCAGGTAGTAAAGGTTGTCCAACTCAAATCGTCTTCCCTGACTTTTGATTGGGAATCTTTATCTTGTCGACCACACGACTTCGACAAATCCAGCAGTGTCATTATATGCCCCTTAAAGCTATTAAAGTGGAACATCTGCCAGTCCCTTCTCTGTGCAGAACGAGAATAATGATGGAAGGATTCGGGCGCAAAACACCATGACAGGGTAATTTTAAAATTGGAAGTCATACGAGAACGTCCTTTGCTTGTTCAAGAGTACATTGAGCACGTACATACATTTTGGAACAGTACTTACTTCTATGATTAGGTCTTATTTCTAGACCAGCCTCCGAAGCCGACCCACGTGATCATACGTGGGAAGAACTTCCCACGAGAACACACTGTATCGATAGCAACTTTCGAGAAATGCCGACGCCCAAAGGCTTTCAATTCCGGAGAGCCGTCAATCTGGTGGTCAACCACGAAAACCACTGATAGCAAGGTTTCCATCGACGTTGTAAATGATGCCTTCGGCCACAGTGGCATTCATCCACGTCAAATGGACATTGTACTGCCAATAGAAGCGAAGAGACAAGTCCCAGCAAGTAGTCTTGAAGGCGGAGACACGATCACTGGGACAGTGATCATGTCTCCTTCTTTAGGACATTGTTCTGTTGTAGGATAATTTTCCTGTTCACCGTTTAGGGGTGATATCAACGCCGTCAACGAACATTGCGGGCGCGGATCGATCTCGTCCGACATCTCCAGACCCAGTGCTAAATCAGCACCACCATCCAAACTGCTGCCTACCCGACCGCTCCTGTTCCAGTCCATACGGCGTCCAAGGCGACGACCTCCCTCACCGCCGATGATGATCACACTCCAGAGGCCCTGCGCCGTCGATCAGCGCTACCCCCATCATCTCTACTGCAACTCCCGCGACAACGGTGACGACTATCAGCTCCCCCACTCCTGCAACCCGTGAGAACACGTCCGAAACAATCT